ACCTTAAGTGTAGGAGGTGCAGCTGATACGATCACATTTGCATGTGCCTAAATCTCTGTCTCCCATAACATCACTGTACCGTTTATTGGACATATATATTAAGGTAGTTTTAGTGAATAGGGATCATTTTAAAAACTTAACTTTTCTAAAATTATACAATCAAAATTAGTTCCAATACTTATAAAAATGAGGTACGCAATGTTTCAGGTAAATCAGAAAAGATTAATCCGTGCCACAAAAGGCCTAAAGTTTGAAAACTCAAAAATTTTGGATAACCGTACATTTTTAATTGTTTTTTTAGTTCAGCGCGTGAAATAATGGATTCACAACAAAATTGTATGAACAAAAGTTGTTTAAAATAATATGTTACACAAATTATATTCTGAACAATTTTTTAATTTGCTTATTATTTATGTATAAAAAGTCAATATATATAATTTTGGTTGTTAAAAACTCACAAAATAAAGTGAATTTAGTGTTAATTTTATAATACGAAAAAATTTTTTAAAAAATTTACAAAAACACATCAAATATTGAAACTTAAAATTAATCAGTCAACTAATTATCTAAAAGAGTACTCTTTTTGAAATCTGGATGTTTACTGCGATAATCATTTACTACTTGAAGCAAATATTGTTTTTGTTTTTCATCGTTTGTTATTTTCGTATTAAACTCCTCCAATAGTATAACACCCCTTTTAGCTATATCATTTACTACATTAATGCTATTAATAAGGTCTATCGATATCTTGAAATTTCCATCAGTGCTTCATAATGATGGGTCAATGGTCAGAAAACTAGTATCTATATTAAAACGTTTGAAAAATTGCATTGATTTTTCACAAATAAAAACTTCAAGATTTTTATTTAATATTTCAGAGGCTTCTTTTGTATTCAATAAATATTTTTTTGGTACATCATCATCTGTATGGATTTTTAGAGCAGCTATAAGTTTTCTGTTTGTATCTAATGGAACATTAGTATCAAAAAGTGATAATACCGTATTGTCTGGAGATAGATATCATAAATGACCACACATTTTTTTAACTGTAACTTCTAATATATTTTTATCTATTGACTGATAATTTACCAAATCTTTCAAAAATTTAAATCTTGGTATGGTGCATTAGAAGCAAGTGGTGCACTAAACCAAGCTCTTACGTATAATTTAATAATAAATATACAAATACTAGCTATTGACATTTCTTCTTTTTGGGTTAAATTAAATTGGTTTCGAAATATAAATATTTCTAAGCAATATAAAGCTTTTGCCATTCATCTAGTATGATGGATAGCTCCCGGAACTCTAAAAGAAACTCCCCTTAAAGGAACACAGACATTTAGATCGAAACTAGCTACTTAATAGGAAACACACACAATAGATTTTTAATATTGAAGAAACATTAAAAATAAGGTTAAGTAAGTCATTAAAAGGAAATAATTTACAAAAAAAAATGATATTTAAAATATTAATTAATATTAATTTCCATGAAATGAAAAGTATAATATTATTATCTTATAAGTAAATAAATATAAATTAATATATTTACCAAAACTAAATTCACTTCAAAATTTCTAAGTATATTATAAATTAAAGATTATTATTAAATTGAAAAAATTTTAAATTCAAAAAAAATTGTTGGGACTAAGTCACAGAAAGTATGAATGTCGAATAAGGTTTCTTAGATTTTGTGTATTTTGAACTGGTTTTAGCATGTAAAATGGCTTATTATGATCAGAGGAGAGTGTCCTTACAATCTATAGCTGAAGATTTCATGTCCAGATATCATGTTTTCAGATATGATGTTTTGATGATAAAAACATTTATAATATGTAAAATACATATTCAAATGATAACAAATTCTATGCTTATATAATAAGTGATACCACAATAGTAAGTGACATTATTAAAACGACGATTAAAACACCTTTAAAAATAAACTCCAATTTAATTTAAAATAATTTTAGTATTGATTTGAAATAAATAATGATGATTGAAAAAACTGATTAAAGATTGTTTTAACTCTTTAAAAAAGTTTTTTTCACAAATCTAATAACCTTATTTCATTGTTATTTTCACCGTTATTTTCATTATAAATAGTGAATTTTTTGAAAGTTTCAGTAAATTTTATATATGATAAAATACTTTTAATATTGACACTTTGTAATGTTTTATCGATTAACTTAGTAAAAAAGAATATTTTTACTAAATGATTATTCATTGCTTCAGAATTTGATATTGTGTATAAATATTCAATATATTTGAAATCATCTTCATTTAACTTATAATCTGTGATATACATTTCAGTTTTAATATTAATACTGAATTCGTAGCCTGGATCACTTATTAAATCATTTGAAATTAATTCAAAAGAGTTCGGTTTTATTTTATTTATTATATTATCGATATTTAAAATCAAATCATTATGGTAATCACCTAAATCAAAAGATTTGAATACTTTTTCAACATCACAAGCTTGTTGACCGTCAAATAATATAATGGTATTCTCAATTAAAAATTGTAATTTTTTTAAGCCATATATTGCATCTACTTTTTGTTTATTTTTTAACAATAAAGAAACATACATCAATTTTTTTCTCATTAAATGCATTAAAACAGTTTTAAAAACGTTTAAGACTTTTTGTTGGTAAATTCCTATTTGTTGTATCCATTTATCAAACCAAAAATAATTCTTTGCCATTATATATTCTCTATATAAGTTATTGTAGATAGTTTCAAAAATAGCTTCACTCTGTTCACCAAAATCCGTTATAATAGTTCTCAATAATTCTTTGTCTTCAATTATATCACACATGTAAATATTTCTGAGTGAAAACGAATTTTCTTGTCCTTCCACATTTTCTAATTCAATTTTGTTGATTTCTTTTCTTTGATACATAGTTTTTATTAGTTTTGTGAGGAGTATATAATGTTCTTCATCAAAATAATCAACATAATAATTATTATATTTTCTACACATTTGTTTACTTACAAAATATAATTTATCGAGAACGATTTCGATAGCTATTTTAATATTGTTTTTATATCGATATACATCATTACTAAACAATTGAACATAATAAGTATACAAATGCATTATCCAAAATATAGTTAGTTTATCGTCCATATAATAATTTAATATTGTAACTAAAAATTGTTTTGTAATCGATTCATTTATAACCATTGTGTTTATATCATAAATTTTTCCAGGAGGAATATGAATGAGGCGAAAAAAAAGTTCAATATATTCCATAAAAGTAAACATATTACTACAAAAAAGATCCAAAAATATTATATCCGTTTTTTTCGTTAATACAACATTTTTAAGATTTTGATTTTCTTCCAAGATTTTATTTTTGATATCTGAAAATGACAAATTCCGTATCTCATCATAACTAAGATACGAGAATCCAGTGTCTAATTTTAATGCTGATTCTAATGATATTTCAATTTTCTTCCAGTTATTTTTTCCGTAACATAATTTTGTCTCCACAACACACAACAAAAAAAGAAACACAGTATTATTTTTANCATAATTTTGTCTCCACAACACACAACAAAAAAAGTAACACAGTATTTTTTTTAAAAATCATTTTTAATTGGTAATGTTTAAATTATTTAGTAATGTATAAGTTTTCATAATATTTTTTTTTTTTAGACTCTTTATATATATTATAATTGTGTTTATTTAAGTGTCATTTTCAATTTTAAAATCAGATCGCATAAATCATATGTTATAAATTTAATAAAGTATTATACAAATAATTTATTTTAATAAATAATATATATTTATAATATATAAATAAATAAATAATTTTGCATGTTCATTAGTAAATTAAATATTAATATTAAGTAGTTACAAAAAAGTGACAAAAAGATATCTCTTCATATTGTCGTAACTCAATAAAAGAAATGAAAACAGATTTAAAAGTAAATTGTGATGCGAAGATGAAGATGAGGATGTGGTGCCTGCTGTCTAGGTATTGACGTGCATGTTGTCGTACAGCAGTCACCGTGCTCGGCTGACACTCTGGGTTAGCTGTGGGAGTCTAAAGACTGTTGTTATAGGAAGGGAATAAGGGTAACACCTAGGTATGAGGTGCAGACGAAGTGCAAGACACAAATACTTTAGTTATTAGGAGAGGATAATGAAGTACGAGGTGTAGATGAAGTGCAAGACACAAGTACTCTGAAATATTGTGTAAGAGAGTAGATAGGTTTAAAAGGAATAAACAAAGACTTTACTTTAAGCAGTAAGCCGGACAGCGACAACCCAGTACTGAGCCTGATGAATGACACAAGGCACTGGAGTCAACTGACCACGATGGTCAGGTCTTTTGGGTTTTTATAATAATTAGAACTATTGCCAAATTGGCAATAAATATTATTTGTTAATTCATCAGTCTCAGGCAGCAGATGTGCTGTCTGTATTTTATTAAAATAATTCTCACAATAATGGTAACGTGACACCATCACAATATTGTGCATTATATTAATATATTTTATTATAGTTAAGCAACCGGCAAAAATTAAATAGCGTGTCTTATCTTATATCTCCTGATTTAAGACAAATAACATCTTGACATTTTCCATTCCTTTAGTTTTAGAGGTCACTCATTTCAAATTAAATATCAGTTTTTAAATTCTTCTTAATTTAGAAGTACTATAAGGGTAACATTTTTTAATTAAAAATATTTTTAAAACATCAAATAAAAATTTTATATCAAATATCGTATGGTAATTTTTAAAAAAAAAAGTTTTGGTTAACTTAAATATATGTAAAATATTTTATAAAAGTCTCGGTGACATCATAAAATTGTTATTGTTTGTAAGGTGACGAAAACAATAACAATTGTATTTTGCATTGAATAATAGTTTTTAATTAACTAATTTTTGTTATTTTCCTATACAACGGCCTGTAATTGTACATTACTTGTAACATAACAAAAAAGTACCTCTCATTTTTTTTGTATATTAGTAAATTTTATTTAATATTTTACTTTTGTTAAGCCGACCGTGATTGTATACAGAATGTCGTTTGTTGCCGTTCACGTTGCTGTGATTTTTTTCCAGATTCTATGGTTTTGTGGGCTGCTGAGTTTTGACTTTTGTGACGTTCACAAAGCCAACTTAAACCATACCATCATCATTTATTACCATCTGAAAAAAAATACTAATTATAAAACTGTTGACACAACTATGTAAAAAAGATTTTAAATATTACGGAAACACAAATAACTTAGAAGGTAAGTACTTAAAAGTACTATTATTTATAACCTTTCAATAAGGGTTTACAGAAATTTTAAACTAGGTGTATAGATATATGGAATTATTTATTTTTAACTTCTTAAATTTATAATAGAGCATTTAAAACTTATACAACCAACCAAACTTAATACCATAACTAATATTGACGATGATCCAAATAACCAATTAATGCAAACCACCGAAAATACATCTAGTCCTTCTATTTCTAAATTTTTTTTCTATTTTATCATCTCAACATTTAACTTTGATGCAATTTTCTAAACTACCATCCAAACGGCCTCAAAAACTAAAACTTTTTGGTTCGAAAAAAATGAAGGCACTAACTGATTCTGAAATTAAAGCTATTAATAAATCTTTAACTAAAATTATTGTTGCTCATTACCAGCCACTCTAGTTGGTAGATAACGTTGGTTTTTTACATTATAGTAAAAAATTACAACCACTTTACCAGTCATACTGGTCAAAATATAGCCACTACACTTAGAAATATTTTTAATGAGTGGGATAGAGCAAAAAAATAATAACTGTGTTATCTGACAATGGATCAAATATTAAAAATGCAATTGATAAATACCTACTTAAAAGCTATCACACATAAGTGGCACACACATTAAACTTCAGCGTTAATGAGGCGAAAAATAGAAATACTGATATTAATCAAATTTTAAAAAAATTAGGACAAAAGAAGCCTACAATTATTGAAATGCCATACTATTTAGTATAGCATTTCAAGCACAGCAGTTATGTGACTGGAAATTTTAAAGATTTTCGATCCCCGATGAATTAACCTCCATTAATAGTTAAACAAGATGGAATTATAGTATTATAGTAATGAAAATGCTAAAAATGGGTAAGATAAAAATTAACAGCGATGATTACTTAAAATACTGAAAAAAACGAAATAAAGATAACTGAATATACGACAGTATTTACATCAAATATTAATTCATTATGGAAGCATTTCAATAGTAAAGTGGAAAAGGTCAAAACTACATTAAGTGCAAGTGTAATTTTGGCTTTGATTATATGTCAATATTTAGAAATGATAACTTAGGATCAAAAAAAAAATCTTTTGGAATTTTGAAACAGCACAGACGCACATTTCTAGATTTGTATAATATGCAACTAAAATATTTATGTATTCCAGCTACAACAGTTCCGTCAAAACTTGTGTTTTCGAAAACGAGATTTAACACGAATGATTGTAGGAACGGTTATCTACGAAAAGTTTAGATTATATAATTTTAGCATCGATTCGAAGATGAGAAGGTATATATTTTACTATAATGTGTTTTTTTTTTGTGTCTGGTACCACATATTCTCAGCTCTCACTGAACCTATTTCTTTCAACGATAAGTCAAAAGTTCACATATCGTATCTAGTCGAAGACATTACCTTCAAAAATTGAAAAATTTTCCCTTGTGTATGGAGGAAATCTCCAAAAAAATTACAAATTTAAAAACCGCTAATTTTCGACATTTTAAAAAATTTTTTTTATTTAAAACTGCCATAACTTTTTTAAAAATGACCAAATTAATATATATTTTTTTAGCATAGATACGTGAAATATGATTTCATATATTTTATTTATAAATCTGACCCTTTAACTGCCCACAGGAAGGATTCGAAATGATAACTTTTTCAATTTCACTTTTGAAAGTGTTCCGGAAATATTGACACTTTTATATATATCTTAAATTAAAGATAATGTAATATACTTTATTATGGAAAAAAAAAATCCGCACTTTATTTTGTCTTTATGGTAAAAATAGCTCCCATATGCTTTTTTTTGATAAAATTCTCGATATTATATTTTAGATTTTTAACTTTATATCTCTATACATTTTTGAAAAATGTATAGATCATTATAATTTTATTATGATAAGTAATTATAAGCTTCTTTCATTTGACATACTTTTTTTTTAAATAAAACCATTTCCCTTTATACATTTATACATTATAAATATAAATATATATTACACTTATATATCATAAAACTTGTAATCAGGATATAACTAAGGAATTAGGAGATCATATTTCTTTTGGAATAAATCTCCAATTTTTTAAAATCAAACAATAATATTCAACTACTTTTGGTTCCTATACTACTCGAGGTATTTGTTGACATGACTCACAGTCAATATAAACTTAAATAACTACTAGTTCGTGTACTAGTAGTTATTTAAGCTTGTGTAATAAAGTATGATAAATAATCACAGTACTTTCTATTTCAAATTATTTTTTTATTAATAAATTTTCACACATCACTTTGTTTATCTATATTTTCATTTTCTCATGAAACCTTCGTACTCATACCCCAAGAGAAATATTACATTAAATAATTTTATTTAATAAACACGTAGTAACGCAATAATCATACAAAACCCAGTACAAATTTTATAATTATTTTGAGTTAATATAATTGAATTTTTTTCTGTAAAAGTGAGGAGTTAATTGGGATATTTACCCCTGCCTCCTATAGGACTATATTGTTTGACCTAAAATATAGACAAAATAATTAAAAAAGAAAATCATAACACGGTAAACGGTGATTTTTTCACTAGAATAACATTTTTTGTTTAACTACGGTGGTCATTTGCATATAGAAGATTAGGTTTCGGGACAATATTTTTTTAATTTACAGTGTGGAAAGTAAGATTATAAGAGCGGCGGCCGTTAGCTAGCGAAGATAAGTAAGAAGAAAAAAAAGGGGAGAATAATCATGAGGGACACAGTTAACGTTCAAGGTATGTTTCATAAAGGAAAGGAATTTACGTTGAACCCTTTCAAGTTGTAAATAGTCGTTAGCTGTTTGAGGATCCCAAACAATTGAGTCATATTCCAGAATTAGTCGTACAAGGGCACAGTAGATGGATGTAAGAGACTTGGTGAGCTTAAACTCACTAGATATCCTTTTTACAAAAAGATTATGTTTTTTAAATACAGTTGCCATTCAAACATATAAAACAAGTTGTGGGAACAATTTTTTTTTTATCTTAGAGTTATTAACATAAGCTTTAATTTAAAATATGTTTGAAGTCCAGAATTTTTCCAGATCATTTTTAAAAAGTTGATTAAGTTAAATTTTTATGTAAATTAAACAAGGGCAATGACTTCGACTAGATATGATTTATGATCTTTTATTTATTTATTTTATTTATTGCAAAATTGGTAAACTGAATTACTATTTAAACCCATAAGACCTAGCCATCGAGGTCAGTCAACTCCAATGCTTTGTGTTATTCATCAGTCTCAGTACTGGGTTGTCACTGTCCGGATTATTACATAAAGTCAAGTTTTTGTTTTTCCTTTTTTACCTACCTACTCTCGTTCTCGACATTTCAGAGTGTTATCTTCCTTACCTGGTACGCCAGGAGCCCAGAGTATGAGGAGCAGACGAAATGCAAGACACAAATACTTTGGGTATAGGAAGGAATATAGAAGAAAGGTAGTTACTATAGTATACTACCCTATTATAAGTACTCACTAAACCAAAGTGGTTCCAGGACTCTCAAGACGCCAGCAGGAAGCACTAGTGCAATTTAAAACCTCTATTACAACTTGTGGAAGCACGCCAGGTATCACTCTGAAACGTTTCTACGTTTGTACTCTTTTAAATTTGTTTTTTATAAACTTGTTATGATATACATAGCACATCATTAATGTCATAATGTATTATTTAAGACTTCAATCAATCAATTAAACAAAATAAAATGTATACCAATAAAAATAAGATATATATATGTACCTTTTAAATGTTTAAATATACTAATGAAATGTCGTAGAAAAAGTATATATTAATTATATAAAACAAACAGGAAATAATATATAATATGTAATGGTAGCACATAAAATGTAGGGTAATAAACTATGTCTAAATTATTATATAAGATATGATAGTATTTTATAATATGTAGATCATTATTGATGAAAATGTAATAAATAACATGTAATAAATTACGATTAATAAAGAAATAACGGTGGCGTCGGGGATCACTTCTTGCCTTTGAACCACGATCAAATTCAATATAAAAAGCCAAAAATAAAGAGCATTCTGGGTCAGATGCAGTCAGATATTCACAGAGACACTCACTACGCTCGATCATTTCACATAACAAAATATATGCAAGAAGTGATCCGTCATCAACACAATTATATTTGTACGAAAAATACAACATCTATTTATTTAAGAGTGTCACAGAAAATATCAAGGTAGGAATCTAATAAATTCACCGAAAATAAATATGGTTTAGAATTAAATTTTATGAGTAAATAGATTAAGTAGGCATACAGGGAAATCAAGTGTCAATAATTATCAATAATAATAAATATACCAAGTAAATTTAATAAATCAATAATGTTTGTACAGAGTTACTTGGCAGAGTTATATTGTTGATACGTGTCTATTTCAGGAGTTAGGTTGGAGGTTCATATGCATAGCTTTCTGGGTAGACACACGAGGTGACTCAATCCTACCTATCACCGATAACCGTCAAAACTCGTGGCATTATTGATATTTAAATATTGACAATTAATTATAATGAATCCCATATTAATAAAATCACTTTATTTTTCTATCATCTTTTATCTTTCTTACAGACCCTCGTACTCATACCCCGAGTAATAATATTATTAATACAATAAAGTAGTGGATCAAATAAGCGCTCAAAACCCGTCATATTCTATTTAACTTATTTCTTTTAATTAACTTTCAAAGTACTCTCTAAATTAATACAAGTAACACCACCTTTTAAATTACAAAAAATAATAATTATTTTCTTTTTTGATTCACTTTAAACTTAAATTTATCAATAATACGAAAACACAACGCTAATTGTTCAAATAATCAATTTATTTTGTTTTATTTAAAAAAAGATGAATATATACTAAACAACTACCTATCATATCAGTCTTACTATAGGAACTACTTAATTTAAGGTGAAGGTAGAAGTATAACCCTTTGTATCATGGTTGATAACGCTTTGTTACGAACACCGTTGCAAAAGATTAAGGAGACTTTTACAAGGAGACAGTTATCTTGATCATGGTTGATAACATAGAGGTTATGATCACCGTTGAAGATTAACTGAATAATGTAAGCGGAGGAATATAACCCTTTAGATTACGGTTGGTAAAGCGTTGTTACGAACACCGTTATAAAGGATTAAAAGGAATATTTAGGAAAAAAACCAGTAATCTTGATCACGGTATCACACACAACCAGACATTAAATGAAATTGCTTTGTTCGTGTAAACGCTGTATTCATTAGAAGACATTAAACAAACTTTGTGCATACAAACTTAAATATCGATATTTGAGGTCTATTGAAAAATATTCTACATTTTTATAGGCGTATCTAATAAACAATAAAAAAAGTTTTTAATTTCTTTTTTCTTGATGAAATAGCATAGGTGTAAGTAGGTTTTGAAATCATAGTGTGCTACCAAATCATAATGGATTTTCAAAGTAAAAATTAATTTTTGGGTTGTGTTTAATTTTTATCCCTACTCCACTATCAAAAAATCATACAGATAGTTATATAACAATATTTTAGTAAAAGAGAAAACTGATCAAGATCTACCTAGTGTTGGCGCCACTGCTTTTCATAAATGTTATGTGGATGAAATTTAAGTTAAGTCTATAAGCAATTTTACACGACTAAAAAACAGGTAAGTAAATAGATTTTAGTGTTGGTTATATTTTATTTTTTAGCAATATTATAATATGAAGATATTAATAACACTAGTTTACAACAAAATTGAACTATGACTTATGATAATAAACGATATTTTACGTTTATTGAAAACAATTCTTGTTAAAACAAAAATTAATTTTTTCAAAAGTTATATTTAAAAAAATTGTATGTAAGAAAAAAATTGTCATAAACTCCTTTTTAAAAACTGCATGTGGTAGTGAATTATATTTCAAACACTTTACATTAAACCTAAAAAAGTAGAAATATTGAAACGTAAAAAAAAAATTCAATATTGTTTTAAATTAAAAACACCTTATTTTGATTTTAATTAAGTGATATATTTATTTAGAAGTATGTACTATAGAAAAATTGACACTAATCTTATTTAAAGCTTCCTCTTATCTAGACAAAAAATATTCAATAATCTTTATATTTATGTAACAATTTATCAAGGCGGTATTGCAATAGCACAATCATCACCAAGACAAAAAATTCATTAATAAAAAAATATCTTCGTAAGTTTCTTTGCGTTGTCTAGCAGCATGATGTTTGTTAGAACAAAGACATTAAGCTCGAGACTAACTACCTAGTACGCATAGCTTACAAATATACTTAACCTAATATATAACCTAACAATAATAACTAGTTTTACTTTTCTTTAACATCGCAATGTTTGTTAGAACACAGACATTAAGATCGAGTCTAGCAACTTAATAAGAAACACACACAATAGATTTTTAATATTGGACAAACATTAAAAATAATGTTAAGTAAGTTATTAAAAGGAAATAATTTACAAAAAAAATTATATTTAAAATATTAATTAATATTTATTTCCAAAAGATGAAATATATAATTTTATTATCTTATAAGTAAATAAATATAAATTACAATATTTACCAAAACTAAATTCATTTCAAAATTTCTAAGTATATTATAAATTAAAGATTATTATTAATTTGAAAAAAATTTTAAATTCTAAACATTGTTGGGACTAAGTCACAGAAAGTATGAATCTCTTGTAGAGTTTCTTAGATTTTGTGTATTTTGAACTGGTTTTAGCATGTAAAATGGCTTATTATGATAAGAGGAGAGTGTCCTTACAATCTATAGCTGAAGATTTCATGTCCAGATATCATGTTTTCAGTTATGATGTTTTGATGATAAAAATATTTATAATGTGTGAAATCCATATTCAAATGATAACAAATTCTATGCTTATATAATAAGTGATACCATAATAGTAAGTGACATTATTAAAACAACGATTAAAACACCTTTAAAAATAAACTCCAATTTAATTTAAAATAATTTTAGTATTGATTTGAAACAAATTATCATAATTTGTTTGAAAAAACTAGTTGATGAGGGTAAAAAATTTATTTTCACAAATCTAATAACCTTATATCATCGTTATTATCACCATTATTTTCATCGTTATTTTCATTATGGTTAGTGAATATTTTGAAAGTTTCAATAAATTTTAAATATGATAAAATACTTTTTATATTGACACTTTGTAATGTTTTATCGATTAACTTAGTAAAAAAGAATATTTTTACTAAATGATTATTCATTGCTTCAGAATTTGATATTGTGTATAAATATTCAATATATTTGAAATCATCTTCATTTAACTTATAATCTGTGATAAACATTTCAGTTTTAATATTAATACTGAATTCGTAGCCTGGATCACTTATTAAATCATTTGAAATTAATTCAAAAGAGTTCGGTTTTATTTTATTTATTATATTTTCGATATTTAAAATCAAATCATTATGGTAATTGCCTTGATTAAAAGATTTGAATACTTTTTGAATATCACAAGCTTCTTGGCCATCAAATAATATAATGGTATTCTCAATTAAACATAGCAATTTTTTTAGGCCATATATTGCATCTACTTTTTGTTTATTTTTTAACAATAAAGAATCATACATCAATTTTTTTCTCATTAAATGCATTAAAACAGTTTTAAGAACGTTTAAGAGTTTTTGTTGGTAAATTCCTATTTGTTGTATCCATGAATCAAACCAAAAATAATTCTTTGCCATTGTATATTCTTTATATAAATTATTGTAGATAGTCTCAAAAATAGCTTCACTCTGTTCACCAAAATCCGTTATAATAGTTCTCAGTAATTTTTTGTCTTCAATTATGTCACACATATAAATATTTCTGAGTGAGAACGAATTCTCTTGTCCTTTTACATTTTCTAATTCAATTTTGTTAATTTCTTTTCTTTGATACATAGTTTTTATTAGTTTTGTGAGGAGTATATAATATTCTTCAGGATAATAACTAACATGATATTTATTATTTTGTCGACATATTTGTGTACTTACAATATCTAAATTACTGAGAACGAGTTCGATAGCTTTTCTAATATTATTTTTATATTTATATACATCATTACTAAACAACTGAACATAATAAGTATATAAATGCATCATCCAAAAAATAGTTAGTTTATCGTCAATATAATAATTTATCATTGTAACTAAAAATTGTTTTGTAATAGATTCATTTATAATTATTGTATTTATATCATAAGTTTGTCCAGGTGGATAATTAATGAGGCGATAAAAAATTTCCGTATATTCCGAACAATTAAATATATTACTACAAAAAAGATCCAAAAATATTACATCCGTTTTTTTTGTTAACACAACATTTTCTAGATTTTGATTTTCTTCCAAGATTTTATTTTTGATATCTGAAAATGACAAATTTTGTACCTCATCATAACTAAGGTACGAGAATCCAGTATCTAATTTTAAAGCTGTTTCTAATGATATTTCAGTTTTTTCCCAGTTATTTTTGCCGCAACATATTTTTGTCTTTACAATACATAAAAAAAAAAACAACATAGTATATTTTTTAAAAATCACTATTGATTAGTAATGCATCAATAATTTAACAATGTTTAAGGTTTCAAGATATATTTGATTGAAACACTCTTTATATGTACAATAATTGTGTTTATTTAAGTATCATTGTCAATTTTAAAATTAGATTGCATATATTATATGATATAAATTAAATAAACTTTGTACAAATAATTTATTTTAATAAACAACATATTGGGATCTAATTTTGCATGTTTATTAGCATATAAAATATTAATATTAAGTAGCAACAAAAACGTGACAAAAATGTATATCTTCATCATGAGTATTATATTGATATATTTTATAATATTAATTATAATATAATAATGTAATGCTTAATTATTAAGCATCTCACAAATATTAAATAGCTTGTCTTAACTAATATTTTCTACCGTTTTCTATTCATTTTGTTTTAAAAATTGATGATTTCAAATTAAATATTAGTATTTAAATTCACCCTAATTTAGGAGTACAAGTAGGGCAAAATTTTTTAAGAATTATATGGATATATACAATTTTTATGTCACTTAATATTTTTCATTACATGTTTGGCTAGTCTTAGTAAAAATGTTCTAAATAATAAGTAGGCGAGTAGATTTGGGAATAATTTATTGGGTATCAAAGACAAATATATAAATACTATGATTAAACTTGACTGTTTCCCTTAATTTTAATATAACTATTTTTTTTTTTAAAGCAGTTTTGTATGATTAATTTTAATGATAAAAATGTATATTTTTTAGAATATTAAACTAAAATTCTAAAAACTTCATGAAATAAATGTTGTCATTTTTTTTTTTTGCACATCTTTTCCTTTTTGGTTTATATTAAAGCATTAAAATACTTTTAAATTTTTAATCATAGTGCATAAAATAAATTTTCAAGTGATATATGTTAAAAGAACTTATAATATAAAATGTGTGAAAGACGTAAATAAATAAAAACATAAATAATAATTTTTTTGTTAAGCAACTGTATAATTATAACGTATCAGGTATTAAAAACGTTAATCAATATATATTTGGCATTGACGTCATGTTTAAGTACAATCGTTGTTAATCGTATTAACAAAAAAAGGTAAAAAATGAAAATAACCAATAATTAAATAATAGAATGAATTATCATAAAACAAAACTAGCTCCCTGGTCACCAAATATCCCGTTGGCCAAAGAGGCTGTCCGATGTTAAGGACACTAACAGAAGCAATTCGGTGTGTTTATTATACAGGTGGTCCATGATGTTTTGATAAATATAATAAGTTTTTTGCCTTCAGTATATTTTGCATTACTCTTTTATTTTATAATTTTTAAAGTTTTAGACTATTTTAAAAAAACATTTTTAAAATTCATCTCAAGTAAGAAAAAATAAAAATCTAATTATTTTATTTTTCAAAATTTCAAAATAGCCATTTTAGCTTCGATGTGAAGCTGAGAAGGTATTGGTTTTACTATGATGTGTTTTTTTGTGTCTGTTACCACTTTTTTTCAGTTCTCATCGAACCGATTTCTTTCAATGATACATCATAAGATCACAAATCGTATCTAGTCAAAGTCATTACCCTCAAAAATTGAAAAAATTTCCCTCGTTTCCCATAAATGAGGGAAATCACCAAAAAAATTACAAATTTAAAAATATAATGAATAACTATGTTTTAAAACCATAGTTATTCCAAAATCAAATAGTTTTTGTTAACATTGACATGTTCAATTATAAATTACTGTTATATAGACAGTAACGCATCTAAATTTCAGGGTTGCAGTGGCGTATATAAGATTTGAGGGTTAGGGTAGCCTATAATTTATAGTTTGATAAAAAAAAAAAACCCAACACTGTGAGGTCGCGGCATAGTAGGGTTCAGTATAATGATATCTGTTAGTGATTAAAATCACTATCATAAAAAACGCTTCGATGCAAATCTATAGATCTGTTTAATTTAAAAAAAATGCTGGATTATTTCAAAATCTACATGATCTCCTATTTCCTTATTTATATCCTGTTTAGAAGTTTTATGATTTATAAGTGTAATATATTGTGGCGACTAACGTCGTAATAAAAAGAAGAAAGAAATCGAAACAGCAACGGTTCATTCTATAGATGGAGTCAAGCCGTTTAATGAAAGAAAAATGTTAACACAAAAGAATAAAAGGAAAACCAAAAGTAACAATAATACTAATTATTGAACAATCACACTGAGATGGTTCTGTAGCTGGATGTATGAATGATCGAAACTGTGGTGGCGGTTCGGTTGGATTGATGAACGGACGAACAAGCGATATAGGTGTCACGAAGATGACTGACTCGACGTATTATTGCGGCGGGTATTCGACGCTAAGCATTTATTGGACTTTACACCACGACGATAACGCGTGTGTGTAACGGTCCGGTTTATAGAGGAGCGGTGGCTGAGAAGGAGCTGATACGACCTCGGGGTGTCAAACGTGTGACAACGCCGTGGCCGTTTCCATATGAAAAAATATATAAAGGGAAATAGTTTTATTTAAAAAAAAAGCATATCACAAAAAATGAAAGAAACCCTGCACAGTGGGATCACAGCACAATGAAGACGTGGCATAGTTGGGTTCAGTATAGATGATATTTGAGAAAGATTAAAATCACTGTCAAAAAAACGCTTCGATGCAAATCTGTAGATAGTATTTAATTTTAAAAATTGGTGGATTAATCCAAATGTAACATGATCTCCTATTTCCTTATTTATTTATATTTTGATAACAAATTTTATGATTTGTATCATAAATTACAAAAAATATAATTTTTTATGAATATATTGTTTCGATCTCAGAGTGGACTGTATAAAATACGATTACTTTTAACTGTTTAACTAATAAGAACGATATAAAACTTGAACTTTTAACTTAGTTTATACTACTTTATTTTGTATACACGTGGTGGCGTGAGCGACGTACTGTCCTTAACGCATAACGAGCTCATCGTTCGACTACTATTATTAGAATAAAAGAAACCGGTACGCACCGGACAAACGCACTTATTACATATCATAATAACATACAAAAAAAATTATATTATATATATATATATATATATATATATAATATAGTAACGTGACAAAATGTGAATTTTATGTCTATTATTATTTCATATGGTATAGATAAATTTACTGTATTGCTTTGCTAATGGGCACGCGTACGTTATATCCTGTCGTGTAATCAGAAAACAGTACTATTACTGTCAAGGTGAACGCTATACACACAATATTCTTTGACAATTTAATAATCGTTCCCTATATGACACATACACTGACTACCACTGTCAATAACTGTATAATTTTAATATTGTTCTATACTTTTATCGTCTTTATATTCTGTAAATTGTTACCCTCTCCCAAACGTGATCGTCGTCGTCGGTGTGTCTCGCCCGGAATATATGCTCTCTTTCCGATGAATATACCTCGACTGTGGTATTTTGCTGTGTGCGTGTAGCCATTTTCGTGTGTGATATTTTTATGTGTTTATATGTATTAACTTTTGTAAGGCGTCGGCCATTTTCCATTCCCGAGATCCCCATCTTCGGATGAGTCCCATCCAGGACTAGGTATCGTACATTTTTTTTGTTATACATTAATGTTTTGAGTCTTTTTCCGTTAAAATTTATTGTTCATATTACACATGTATTTTTTTTTCTTTGCTCATTATTTACTATGAGCTAATTTTGATGAATAAGTTAAAGCATTATAAAGTTAAAAATGTAAAAAATAAAATCTAGAATTTTCACACAATAATAGCATTTGGTAGCTATTTTCACCGTGAAGATAAAATAAAGTCCGAAATTTTTTTTTTCATTATAAAGTATAATACATTAGCTTTAATTTAAGATATATATAAAAGTGTCAGACTTTCCGGAACATTTTAAAAATTTAAGTGAAAAAAGTTAATTTTTTGTGAAAAAGTTGTCATTTTAAATCCCCTTCGTTGACAGGTAAAGGGTCAGATTTATAAAACAAATATATCAAATGAAAAGTAACGATATCATGTACCTGTATAAAAAAGTTATGGCAATTTTAAATAAAAATTTTTTTAAAAATTTCGAAAATTAGCGATTTTTAAATTTGTAATTTTTTTGGAGATTTTCTGCCATTTACGGGGAACAAGGTAAATTTTTTTAATTTTTAAGGGTAATGTCTTCGATTAGATACAATTTGTGATTTTTTAACGTATTGTTGAAAGAAATCGGTTCGATAAGAACTGCAAAAAAGTGGTAACAGACACAAAAAAAAACACATCATAATAAAACCAATACCTTCTCAGTTTCGCATCGAAGCTGAAAGTCGTTAAAAAGATCTACTCAATTGATTGTATTATAAAATTTGATTATAGTTGTAAAAATTCATTGTTATATTTAGGTGAAACTAAAAATCATTTTTTTTTTTTAATTTATGATTTATATGACAACATGTTTCAAAAAATGTTGGAATGTTATAGACTAGTAGTAGCACACACAATTACAGTAAAAAATTAATAAATTACCAAGTAAAATTATTTACTTTTGTTGTTGAATACATTTATCATATCAAATCTAATTCGACAATAAATTTTTAAAAAGTATTATTAATGAATGATTTTATTAATTGTTTGTATGGATAAAGCTGGTTTGCTATTCTTATATAATTAATGGATTTGTTTTTAATTATTAAGAATAATATCTTCAACTAAATACGAATTGTAATCATTTGATGTCTCTTTGAAAAAATCAGTCAGAGATGGAATAATAAATAGCAGCCAAAAAAAATATAGTAAAATATTAATATGAATAAGAAATTTCTTCTTATGAGGGGAGACTACATTGATGGGATCCTTGATATTTATTGGTTATTGAATTTAAATGAGATTAAAAGGAAAAATTGCAAAAAATTAATTGTTACAGGCGAATTCGAACCTCGTACCCTAAGCTTGAAAAACAAAAGTGTTACCGATTCGGCAACTGATCGTCATTTTTGTCACACTAAAATTGGNTGATTTTAGAATTTTTATTAACGCGAAGAAATGCTTTATTGAAATCAGAATTGTAAGAACATTTATTACTATGTTCTTACCACTTATTGTATACACGTTATATTTCTATTTATTTAATTCGTAATACATATTAATTAGCATAGAGGTGTCATAAAAAAAAAGTTAAGATGGAATAAGGGTGTTTTTGTCATAAAAAAGATGAGAGTTAAATGGATATATATTGATATATTGATTGACTATGTATGTGATATTTATCTTTTGTCGCAAAAAGGGAATTATATAAGTAGGTTAATGTTTTGTATATTGGGATGGTGAAATCCAATAAATAGTTTTTTTATATGAGAAGAAATGAGAGGATAATTAAATTGAATATGAGTATAAATATTATGTTAACCTGAGTTTTGAAATTCGTTTAGCTACAAAATGAAAAAAGCATATGGCATAAAATCATAAATTCTTTGTTTTGATATAATGACCACTCCTATTTTGTCGTAAACTATAGATCGCAAATAAATCACTTCTGTATGACGCACAATGAAACGTGCAACGATTAAGAAGAAGAATTTTACGATTCCTAATATTTAGTGGTTGTGTTATAGAAATAATAAACTGTGTGTGTTTACGTAAATTGCAAGTGTCCAGTTGTTGGGCGCCAAGCCTTAATGGCTAAATTGTTATTATTTTTTTTTTATAGGTATTAAATATGAACTAAATATTTATGTTTAACGCAAACTGTTGCGTCCTGAGTGGTGACTAAATAACTATTAATAATATTTTCCCTCTTTATCTGTTATTTGCTTGACAAAAGTTATTCTTGATCTACCTTATGTTTATTTTTTCTAATTTTTTATGACATGCTTAGAAATATAATTTCTTACCTTGTGTCCAGCTAGCTTGATCGTTTGTTGTAAAAATGATATAAATAAAAAGAGCACTGACTTTTATCTATTTATTTATTTTGTAAAATTATGTAAATTACTAAACTTGAAATATTACTTCACTGTGGTTCCTTTCTATACTTGGTGTCTGAGTATATGTGTTACTTTATATTTTAAAATGAATATTTAAATAACCAGATAGGTTATGAGAGCCAATCCCTAGTGACACGTTATAAACTATTTTTTTACGAATAGTTTTAACCGCTAGATGTGCTAGGGTAATGACTTCAACAAACTATCAATATTTTATGAAATTGTGTGTTTGACATGAGAGTCGACAGAGTTAGAGACAGGCTGGCTACACCATCGGAGATTACTCTCGTCGATGCACGGACCTTACAGAGTCAAAAACTGCTTGCCGAAAAGAACGTAATGGAATATGAGAATCAATCCCTAGTGACACGTCACAAACTATTGTTTTACCAATAATTTCAACCGCTAGATGTGCTAGGGTAATGATTTCAACAAACCATCAGTATCTTGTGCAATCAATCAAACACGTATCTATTTAAATTTAAGATACATTCTACGATCTCCTTAGTGACACGTCACAAACTATTGTATTACAACAGTTTCAACCGCTAGATGTGCTAAGGTAGATTTTCGAAATGCACTTATTAAATAGACACTCCAATTGAAGAATTAAAAAAAATTCTTAATTGGAACAACTCACAAAATACAAAATAAAAAATTTTAAACGTCTTAATATTTTATGAATATTTAAGACTAAAAATAAAAAGATAAAAAGGTTAAGTTATTTATTTAAATTACATTACTTACGAGAGATTTAGATAATAAACACCAAGTATAAAAAAATTTTAAAATCATAGAGAGCACAATCGCGAGATATTCTGGTTCAAAGATACTTCATGACCAATTTTAAAAAAAAAATGAGGTGGTAAATGAGCTAAAAATCGCTCTTTTATAGGCCCGTTTTATGAGGGGGAGATTTAATGTTTTATATTTTAATTGCCAAATCCTTCTCATTGGCTAGTCAAGGAAACTTGAATAGACCTGTGCGCAATCTATTATTCTACTAATTTGAGTTAATGTTTCATATTTGTATTGGTGTTTATATCTATCATATTCCATAATAATGTGGTTTATTAGAAAAATTATCAATATAAAAATATAAATAAAATAAAATTATAAGTGCTAAATATCTATTACATATATTCTATATCAATTAAATTATATAATATTTATAAAAGTTAGTATAAGATATTTTAAAACTCAGAACTTATACAAAACTCAGAATTTGAACACAAAAATAGCATATTTTTTAATACGGTAGCCTTGTTCACAAAAAAGAAAATGTACAGGGTGTTCAGTTAATAAGGAAACGAATTTCTATTGTACTCATTGTTTGTAACAATTTAACTGTTTCCTAACTTACTGAACACTCTGTATATTACGAATTTTATTTTTATTTTTTTCATAGCAAAGTATATTACATAAGCTTTAATTAAAGATTAAATAAAAGTGTCAATATTTTCAAAAATTAAGTTGAAAAAGTTTGTTTTTGTAAAAAAGTTGATATTTTAAATCTGCTCCTGTGAGTAGGTTAAGTGTTAAATTTTCAAAAAAATTATATTAAATAAAAGTTAAAAATCTAAGGCTTTAATATAAAAAAAAAATAGGTTGATTTGTGTACTTTTAAAAAAGTTATGGTAGTTTTTAAAAAAATTACAAAATTTTCCGATTATAAAAATTGTAATTTTTTGGAAATTTCCCCCATTTACGAAGAACAAGGGAAATTTTTTTAATTTTTGAGGGTAATGTCTTCGACTAGATACAACTTGTGATCTTTTGACATATTTATGCCAGCATTAATTACTATCCTCATAAATTTGTAAAAAATAAAGACTTTAATAATACCATAAAATATATTAAAAATTGTTTAGAGGATCAATATCCTAAACACTATGGTGATTTTACTGAAGTCACAGTTATTCCTGATGAAAAATGGTAAAAAACATTCTTTTTAGATATAGTTTTTTTTTATTCAATATAATTCTATCATTTATAAAAAAAAAATTTTTCATTATAATATTAATACTTTTACTTTTAAATTCAACTAACCTTAGATCTAGCACCGTCATGTCCGTTTTCGCGTGCGTTTGTAGTCGACAGGTCACGACGAAAAAAACAAAACATAGTCCAAAAGCTAATTAATAAAAATCTCTTTTGGAGACCACAAATCGAACACACACATTAGTTAAATAAGTGCTATTAAAATCGAGGTAATATTTATAAATTTACTCTATAATTTATTGATAATAGTAATAACTTTATCATACTCGATTGTGTAATCGAACCGTTTTTGACCACCGCAGCCGCTACGTCGGCCGTCAGTCTCAAGGTCAACTACTCTAACAACTCACACCTAATACACAATGAATTCTCCCGGAAAATCACTATCAAATATTAATAAAAATAAATTGAATAAAACCGCTACACCACTGTTTATCTCCAACCTGAATAACAATACCGATGGTGCATCGCCTTGTGATTTCTTTGATAATGATGACTGCTACCAAAATTAACGTATCAGATCCCCTAATAATATTTCACCACGCTCTTAAACGACCTGATTCAAATGTTTTTACGTCACCAAATCGTTTCTCTACAATTGCACCAATTATAGAAGACGATCCAATGAACCACACAAATTAGCTTACGTTGTAAAGTAATAATAAAACTTCCAGGCCACTCCCAATATTTATTCAAGCTGAATTAAACTATAATAACTTTTATATTAAAATCAAAGAATTAACCGACACATCAGGTTTCGATTGTAAAAGCTCTACTAAGGGCCTTAAACTCCAAACATACAGTTCCGACTCATATAGAACAGTAATAAAATATCTCAAAGAGAATAATGTCTCATTTCATTCGTTTCAAATAAAAAAAGAAAAAGCTTGTCGAGTAGTAATTAAAAATTTACATTCTACTACTGATAAGGCATTTATTAGCGATGAACTTTCTACTAAGGGATTTACTGCCAGAAATATTACGCCCGTACTTCACAGACAAACTAAAACGCCTTTATCAATTTTTTTTGCTGACATTGAGCCCAATCCTTCAATTACCGATATATATAAAATAACCTCATTGTGCTACACTAAAATCAAAATTGAACCCCTTTATCCAAAATAAGAAATTCCGCAGTGTCACCGATGTCAGGCTTATGGTCACACACGTAGCTATTGTAACCACACACCACGATCTGTTCGGTGCGGTGAGCAGCACGATACAACTCTTTGTACCAAAAGTCGCACTTCTCCTGCCAAATGTGCATTGTGTAATGGTGATCATCCGGCAAATTATAAAGGCTGTCAAATCCATCTAAACATGAAAAAATATTTAACAAATATTTAATCATAAAAAAACCCATGGAACAGTAATCGTCCACTTCAAACCAACAATTTAACTAATCAGAACCAACCATTCTCCCCATCATCTCAAAACTTTCCTCCTTTAAATAAAGACTCTCAAACTCAAAATAAAAATACTGACTATAACCAAGATCTAACAGCTCAACTAACAACATTTATAAATGACCTAAAAGCACTAATTAACCCTCTTGTATCTCTTCTTACAACAATCATTGATAAACTTCTTAAAAATGTCAATTAGTAGTAAAAAAACACTATCAATATTCTTGTGGAATGCAAATGGTGTTCTACAACACTTAAATGAGCTGATAGCTGTTCTTTATGAAAAAATATATCAATTGCATTTATATGTCAAACTCATCTTACTGAAAAATCATAACTCAAAATATTTGGTTATGAAATTATCAGAGCTGATCACCCTGATGGCACAGCACATGGTGGAGCTGCACTCTTAATATCTAACAATATTAGGCACACACCTCATGCACCCTTTTTTTTTTTTTATTTATTTTTTTTTTTTTTAATTATTGTGGGCCACCCTGGAACTGCTGTGAGGCATTACTTCAGGGCGGCCCACGCCGTCTTAATAATTCACTCCACCACGTTGCGAATCAGCACAAAATTAATCATTAGCTGATTCGCAACGTGGTGTGGCCCCCTTCCGTTAACCGGATCCCAGAGTGGGAACCGTTAGGGAGGACTGCCAAAATAACTCACACGACATATAAAATTACACAAAAATGAGAACCTAAGGCACTGGCCTAAACCAGCGCCTCAGATCCTCCTGTGCCGGGCGGCGTGGCTGCCTCTGTCTCAGGCGTTCCGCTTCCTCCTTCTTCAATAAGACGGATTCGACGAACGCCTGGACTAGCCTCCACGCCTCCCGGCTCCTCAACATCAGGTCCACCATGGACCCGATTCGAACGTGGACCCAAGTCGAGACTCCAAAGAATCCCGTTCCTGAGCCCACGCCTCGCACCGGAAGAGGGTGTGCAAAATACTATCAGCCTCTCCCGGGCGATCCGAACAGTGGTCGCACGTCGGCGCGGCTGCTTTACGAATACGGTGTAAGTACTCGTTAAAGCAGCCGTGGCCGGACATCACTTGAGTGAGACGATAAGTTATCTCACCGTGAGTCCGATCCACCCACCTGTCCAGCTGATCGGGTCCTATGAGGGACCTGGTACACTCGCCTCTCGTCGTTTCCTCCGAGAGGCGAGTCCGCCACCGGAGCATTGTCATCCGCCTGAGTACTAGCCGGTCCTCGGGTTCCAGGGACCGGTTGCGTTCTCGGCGGAGCTCATGCCCGGCGACGCGTTCCTCGGCGAGCATATCGGCGGGCGGCAGTGACGACAGGATACCCGCCGACACTTCGGACACCATTCGATACGCCGAAACTGTCCGGATCGCCGCCCGCCTCTGCACCCTGAGCAGGGCTTCACGGTTTTTGGACGAATACTCAAGAGTATCCGCCCAAACCGGGGACCCGTACAGGAGAACCGAGTGTACGACGCTGACTAAAAGTCTGCGCCGCATCTCTCTCGGTCCTCCTAGATTAGACATGAGTCCCGCCAAGCAATTCATGACTTTCTGGGCCCGCTGGGCCGCACGAGTAATGTGCTTTAACGAACTTTAAACGTTTGTCTATAACAAGGCCCAGATAAGTCATGGAGTCCTTAAGCGGGATCTCCACCTCATGCACCCTACCAAAGTACAAATTTACAGGCAGCAAGTTCAACAATTACAATAGATTCATTACCCATTTCTATATCTGCTTATTATTTTCCACCTGGACGACCATTTCCTACCTTTGAACTGACATTTCAATTACAATCTCTTAACCATAACTTTATAATAGGTGCAGATTTTAATGCCAAGCACCATACTTGGAGTCGATCCATTAATACTAGGGGTCGTTCCCTCTATAATTTAGATTATAGAAAAAATTACAGAGCAATTGTAACAGACTCGCCAACTTATTGGCCTTCTCATGTTAATCGCCATCCTGATACTATCGATTTTTTCTTTAACGCAGATCTTAGATTATTTTATTTTCCAGCATCCTGGAAATCATCGGTAATTGTTACAATTCTCAAACCTGGGAAACCTCCTGAAGATCCCTCCTCGTACAGACCAATAAGTCTTTTACCTGTCTTAGGTAAAATATTAGTAAAAATTATATTAAAACGTCTTTTATTTATCACTCAAAAAAATAACAACATTCCTGGTTTTCAATTCGGATTTAGAGTAAAATATTCAACTATTCATCAACTACACCGTGTTGCTGATACAATTTCAACAGCACTAGAAACAAAGCAATACTGTGCCGGAGTCTTTCTAGATGTGGCAAAAGCTTTTAAATCTGTTTGGCATGAAGAACTTCTATTCAAATTAAAAAACATTTTCCCACCTCCTTATTACCTCATACTCAAATAATACCTGCAAAACCGTTATTTTAAAGTCCGTCATAATCTCCAACACTCCCCATTATACCCAAAATATGCTGTTGTGCCTCAAGGTAGCGATATTGCGCCATTCTTGTACACAATATGTACATCTGATCTACCTTTATCGGATACAATAGTACTTGGTACCTATGCTGATGACACGGCCTTAATATCATCTTCATTAGATCATAAATTCGCCAGTCAACAGTTACAAGTACATCTAAATATGCTTTCGCTCTGGTTCAAGACCTGGCGTGTCAAAATAAATGAGTCGAAATCTTCTTTCATTACATTCACTCTTAGAAAACAAGACTGCCCATTAGTTACTATTAATAACATTATTATTCCTCATTCAACCGAGGTTAAATACCTAGGGTTAATTTTTGACCGAAGGTTAATCTGGGGTCCTCATTTAAAAGAAAAAAGGAAGAAACTAAACTTGAGACTTCAATTACTAAGACCTTTTTCAAATAAAATTATATTGTACAAAACATTACTTCAACCACTATGGTCTTATGGCATAATAATTTGGGGACCAGCAAATAGCTCTGACCAGAGAACAATCCAAAGTTCCCAAAACATCTGCTTAAGAATTGTAATAGATATTTAGCACTTATAATTTTATTTTATTTATATTTTTATAATAATGATCTTTTTTAATAAACCGCATTATAATGAGAGATGATAGATATAGAAACACCAATGTATGTATGACATATTAACGCAAATTAGTAGAACAATAGATTGCGCATAGATCTCTCTAAATTAATTACCTAGCCAATGAGAAGCATTGTGCAAATTAAACTAATTCTCCCCCTCATAAAACAGGCCTATAAAAGAGCAATTTCTAGCTCATTCGTCACCTTATTTTTTTTATAAAAATCTGGTCATGAAGCGTTTCTGTACCAGACTGTTTCGCGATGTGCTCTCTCTAACTTAGAATCTTTTTCATACTTGGTGTTTATTATCTAAATCTCTCATTTTTAATGTCATTTTAAAAAATAACTTAACCTTTTTATCTTTTTATTTTTAGTTTTAAATATTTATAAAATATTAAAACAAATTAAATTTTTATTTTGTATTTTATGAGTTGTGTCAATTAAGAATTTTTTTGATTCTTTAATTGGATTGTCTATTCAATAAGTGCATTTCGAAAATCTACCTTAGCACATCAAGTGGCTAAAACTGTTGGTAAAACAATGGTTTATGGCGTGTCACTAAGGAGATCGTAGAGTGTATCTTAAATTTGAATAGATAAGTGTTTGATTGATTGCATAAGGTGCTGATAGTTTGTTGAAATCATTACCCTAGCACATCAAGTGGTTAAAACTGTTGGTAAAACAATAGTTTATGACGTGTCACTAGGGATTGATTCTCATATTCTGTCACGCTCTTTTCGGCAAGTAGTTTTAGACTCTGTAAGGTCCGTGCATCGACGAGTATATCTCCGATGGTGTAGCCAGCCTGTCTCTAACTCTGTCGACTCTCATATCAAACACACAATTCTATAAAATACTAATAGTTTATTGAAGTCATTACCCTAGCACATCAAGTGGTTAAAACTATTCGTAAAACAATAGTTTATGACGTGTCACTAGGGATTGGTTCTCATAAGCTATCTGATTATAATTTTTCTTATTTTAAAATATAAAGTAACACATATACTCAGACACCAAGTATAGAAAAGAATTACAGTGAAGTAATATTTCAATTTAATAATTTGCATAATTTTACAAAAATTAATAAGTAAATAAAAGTCAGTACTCTTTAATTTATATTCTTTTTACAACAAACGATCAAACTAGCCGGTCACAAGGTAAGAAATTATATTTCTAAGCATGTCATAAAATTAAGGGTAGACTTAAGATAAATCAAGAATAACCTTTATCGAGGGCATAATAGAATTGTTAAAGGTGGATAATTTGAAAAGTTATTAATAACTACTTTCTCACCATTCGGGTCATAATAGTGCGCGTTCAACGTAGATGTTTTAACTTGTATTATACAATTACATAAAGAAAATAATTCAGCCATTAAGGCTTGGCGCCCAACAATTGGACAGTAGCATCTTACATGAACACACGCTGTTTCCCATTCATATAGCATGACCAATAAATATTAAGAGTCGTAAAATCCTCCTCCGTAATCATTGCACATTTCATTGTAGAATTAATATGACTCAGGTGTGAATCATCCGAATATAATTTTCCTTCAATTTACTTTTTACGACAAACTACGCGCAATGGTAGGATCTTAATAACGAGTTCATGGATATATATATTGTATGCTATATTTTCACCTTGTAGCTAAACGTACTTCAACAATCCGTTAACCATAACATCTATATATAATATCTACATTCTATTATTATTCCTCTTTCTTAATTATAAAAAAATATAAATATCACACATATGGCCGCTTATTTTATTTCCTTTATCATCCTTCATTATAAATATTTCTCTTCATTCTTTTTATTATTATAATTAATATCCATATCCTTGTCCTATATCTTATTTTTTATGACAGAATCATAACCAAACTGATATGAAACTTGCATGCTGTCATTCAAGTAAACTGTCTTCTAGAGCTTTCTATTAGAAACCAAACAAGATATAGTTACTACGGTTTTATTCTCATGTAGGTAATAGAATCAGAAATCCTAAAATGAACATTATCTCAAAAATCGCATTTTTGAGTTACAACAGTTTAGATCTAGGGTTGCGATATATTATTTCAAATATTCTATTGAATCTTTAAGAATTATATTATACTGATATTAATTTTATGAAATTGTTAAATAACATGATATTGTTAAAATGGCTAAGCCCGTTAAATTTATAAATAAATATATATATAAATAAATTATTGTGCCACATTCTTTCAAGAAGCTAAAAAACTCTATGTAAGAAAAAAATAATCATAACCTCCTTTTAAAAAACTGCATATGAAAGTGAATTATGTTTCGAACCCTTTTAACGTTAAACGTAAAAAAGTAGAAATATTGAAACGTAAAAAAAAAAAATGAATATTGTTTTAAAATCAAAAACACCTTATTTTGATTTTAATTAAGTAGATATATTTTATTGAGAAGTATGTTCTATTGAGAAATTAACACTAATATTATTAAAACTCCCTCTGGCCTGGAAAAAAAAATCAAAAATATTTATCTCTGTAGAAATTTATCAACGTGGTATTGCTAAGGCACAATCATCGCCAAAACAAAAAAATAACAATAAAAATACGTATATCTTCATAAGTATCATTGCGTGGTCTGTAATAAACCAAAAATAAAAAGAAAGAAGAGAAAAAAGAAAAATTTAGCGTATAAAAATGTGAATGAGAAAGCGTAGGTTAAATATAAAAAGAAATTAGGAGGTACTTGGTAAAATGTTATAATCAATTATTTATTATAAGTTTTTGTAATTTTAATTAGATTTAATTGTCTTCAATTTTATTTAAATTAATTTTCTCATTAATTGTTTCTCTCATTAATTATTAATGGTTTATCACGCAATAGATTGTTGGGAGTTCGAAAGCATAAGTTAAATTGTACTTACCTTACGTCCTGTGTGATACNATTATAAGTAAAATATTTTTCTATCGAAATATATATTTTTTTTAAATAATAGAGTATTAAATTTGTAACTACTTTAATTAATTTTTTTGTGGCTTATATATTGTTATGTGTTAAGGTTATAAATTAAAAATTGTAAGTTTTCTCAACAAACATTATTAAAATGTATTATTTAATAAAAGTTTTTATTCAGCTAAAACTATTAGATTTATTATATTGTACTATTAGTCATATAATGATTATTGATGATGAAGTTTATTTCCATTGGCATACATATAACATTTATTAATAGAAAAAATCAAAGCACAGTGATGACAAGTATAGGTGATATCTGACAATAATTTACATCACATCCTAAAAAATGGTTCGATGTAAATCTGTTAATTTGTAAGAACTTAACGGCTATTTTCTCATAATTGAATTATATTTCAAGAGCTTAAATTTGATATATGTTAAAATTTGTAAGACGTTACGGAACATTGTCAAAATTGAATGTAAAAGAATTTTACATGCTTGTGTGGTCTTTTTCAAATTATTCCTGTATATCCATTAGAATTAATTCTATTATCATAAAAAATCGTATTAAAAGAAACCTTAATGTGAATTTTATATTTTATTAAACAATTTTTTTTAAATTAATTTAAAAATAAAAACTATTCAGAGGCCAAAAATATTACTAAAAAAACCAGGATATAAACTACATGTGTCTAACTATGTGTTTGGTATACGAGATTTTTTAATCATTTTTATAGCATTCGAATTAAATATTTTTAAAAATTTAGCTTTGATGCGAAGCAGAGAAAATATTAATTTTATATATTAAAGAAATTATAGTGTCTAGAATAAAAAGCTATTTTTGGATACAAAATAATATATAAAAATCATTCCATTCCATGACAACTAATTTTAATTTAAGTCAACAAAAGATTGTATAATAAAAAACCATCATTTATAAAAAGTTATTCGATTTAAAATTAATAATAATAATTAAAATATTACAATATGATGACTTTAAGACATACTGCTAATCCAGATGAACTAAAACAGTTCCTAAACATGGAAATCGATATAGTTTTACTGGAAGCACTCGTCAAAAAACGAATGTATGAGAATGTTACTGATCTAGTGCCAGATAGGTACAAGCAAGGAGAAAACTTAGTCAATAAAGAATTACTATTGAAAGAAGTTGATGAAATACCACCGGTAGCTATTATAGAGGAAATATTAAAAAATGATAAAAAAAATATACCAAAGATCATCCAATGTTTGATGCATATTAGACAAACAAACTATGACACAAATTTAAGTATAATAGATAATAATACTGCTTTTAATATAATGACGAAATTTATTCAACAAGGTGAAAAATATGATGATGATTCATTTCACACAATGAAATATCAAATATACAAAATTGGGAGTTACAAAGAATTAAATATTAACCATCGGCAACTGTTTCTCTTCGAAGCTTGTCCTTTACATAAAGTTAAAATGTACATAAACAATAGGCCAAAAAAAAATGTTGTGTATAAAATANGAGGCCAAAAAAAAATGTGTTGTATAAAAGAATATTAGACTCAATTATGAACTGTGAACAAACAGCCTGTTGGGAATACAGTGTATTAGGAAAGTTTGTTAAAACTACTCTTGTTTATAAAGCACCAAAAGACATGAAAAAATTTACATTACCTAATAAAACATTCAAAAATTTAAATAAGCCGGACTACGTAATTATTTGGATGTTAAATAATGGAGTTTCAGACGAAGAAATAATTAAAAAGTGGAATGATAACTTAAAAAAAACATATAAGACATATTATACTGAAGGAAAGACTATTGAAAAGACTTGTAATGACTATCATGGTAAAAATGATAACCTGGAATCATCATCTAAGTCAAATGACGAAATTAAACATTTAACTATCACTCATACAGGTATCATTGATGAAGAAGTCACATATGCTCAGATTAATCATGATGAAAACTCAAAAAACGATTATGATAGTAAACACAATAATGTGGAACACATAAATAAATCAGATGATGAAGTTAAAAATTTAAATATAAGTGAAACACAAATCATTTTAGAAGAAATTCTATATAAACTGTCTGATTATCATGAAAACTCAATCAACGATCATGATAGTAAACACAATAATGTGGAACACATAAATAAATCAAATGATGAAGTGAAACATTTAAATATAACTGAAATACAAATCATTTTAGAAGAAATTTTATATAAAGTGTTTGATTATCATGAAAACTCAAACAACGATCATAATAGTATACACAATGATATGGAACACATAAATAAATCAGATAATGGAGTTGAACATTTAAATATAACTGATACCCAAATCATTGCAAAAGAAATCACACATACGCAGTCTGATCATCATGAAAATTCAAACAACGATTATGTTAGTAAGCGCAATGATGTAGAAAATCACAGTAATAAGTCAGATGAAGATGTTAAACATTCAAATATCATTGAAAACTCAATCAACGATAATGATGGCAAACATGATGATGTTAATATCTCATCAAGTAAATTTTTCGGAAAAGGTTATCGGTATATAGGTAAGACAAAAAGAACTATTAAAAGTAAAATTAAATCAGCATACAATGCAACGCGAGCATTTATTATTAAAAAATTTAGGTCTAAACGTGTTTTTTAGACTTAAAATTAGGTAAGNGGCACATGGGAAAAAATCCCATTGGATCCTTTTGAAACTAGTATGACCTGTAACGAAATAGGTGTATTGTATTTCTTTGAGGAATACATGAACTAAAAAAAAAATTTTTCAACATATATGTTTTTAGAACGTGTTAAGGTAGCTGATATTGGCATTTTGATAGGCGACTATTCGAATGCTTTAATATTGGCACATAATACGTTCGTAATATATAGTTACAAAACATTGTAAAGTCAATGTTTTTCATTTCGTTAACAGTGTCAAATCTATGAATTTGGGCACATGGGAAAAAATCCCATTGGATCCTTTTGAAACTAGTATGACCTGTAACGAAATAGGTGTATTGTATTTCTTTGAGGAATACATGAACTAAAAAAAAAATTATTCAACATATATGTTTTTAGAACGTGTTAAAGTAGCTGATATTGGCATTTTGATAGGTGACTATTCGAATGCTTTAATATTGGCACAATGTTTTGTAAATCAATGTTTTTCGTTTCGTTAACAGTGTCATATTAGAAATTTAGGCACAATGGAAAAATCCCAGTGGATTCTTTTGAACCTAGTATGGTCTGTAACGAAATAAGAGGAGCATTGTATTTATTAAAGAACACATGAACTAAAAATATAATTGTACAACATATATGATTTTAGAACGAGTTATAGTAGCTGATATTGGCATTTTGATAGGCGACTATTCGAATGCTTTAATATTGGCACATAATACGTTCGTAATATATAGTTACAAAACATTGTAAAGTCAATGTTTTTCATTTCGTTAACAGTGTCAAATCTATGAATTTAGGCACATGGGAAAAAATCCCATTGGATCCTTTTGAAACTAGTATGACCTGTAACGAAATAGGTGTATTGTATTTCTTTGAGGAATACATGAACTAAAAAAAAAATTTTTCAACATATATGTTTTTAGAACGTGTTAAGGTAGCTGATATTGGCATTTTGATAGGCGACTATTCGAATGCTTTAATATTGGCACATAATACGTTTCTAATACATAGTTACAAAGCATCGTAAAGACAATGTTTTTTGTTTCGTTAACAGTGCCAAATCTAGGNTCATTTCGTTAACAGTGTCAAATCTATGAATTTGGGCACATGGGAAAAAATCCCATTGGATCCTTTTGAAACTAGTATGACCTGTAACGAAATAGGTGTATTGTATTTCTTTGAGGAATACATGAACTAAAAAAAAAATTTTTCAACATATATGTTTTTAGAACGTGTTAAAGTAGCTGATATTGGCATTTTGATAGGCGACTATTCGAATGCTTTAATATTGGCACATAATACGTTTCTAATACATAGTTACAAAGCATCGTAAAGACAATGTTTTTTGTTTCGTTAACAGTGCCAAATCTAGGAATTTAGACACATTGGTAAAAATCCATTGAATCCTTCTGAACCTAGCATGACCTTTAACGAAACAAAAATATTGTATTTATTTGAGGAACACATGAACTAAAAAAATCTAAGTATTACAGTTAAATATTCACTCAATTCATTAAGTAATTAAAATTAATTTCAAATCTTGATACACATCATTTGACAAATATAAAATTAAATAAGTGAGTTCAATTAATTTAAATTACTTTATCTTGTATCTACAATGGCCATGTGTTGTTAATTTTCAAAAATATATTTTATTTATACTGAAATATACATTTTTAATAGAATGCATTTATAGTTTATGAAAATTTTAGACAAGACTTTTATAAAATTATATATTAGTAGTCCAAAATTCACTCGCTTATATTTACATCAGTTCCCAAGCGTAGTGCAGTGTCAATACTGGATTAATATTGGAGGTGATAGAATATTATATTATAATATAATAACAGTACTTGGCCAGCACTGGATCAGTAGTATTTATTTCAGCCATAAAATAAGAAACAAAACAAAAATAATTGATTATATTAAATACGCTGAAGATATCATAGAATTTGTTCGAGGTAATACAATAAAAATTAAATAAATTTTAATTTATTAAAAGTAATTTAGCTATAAGCAAATAAATATAAATAATCTAAATAGTTTATAGATTTTATGTAAATATCTAATCAAAGTAAAAACAGGAAATCAGTTAAGAATGAACAAGAATTCACAACAGACACGTATGTAATTNATTTTATGTAAATGTCTAATCAAAGTAAAAACAGGAAATCAGTTAAGAATGAACAAGAATCCACAACAGACACGTATGTAAGTAACAAACGCTTCACGCGTTCTCTCCTATGGTGTTAGGTGTGCTTTTTTGTCGGATTACATTTTTCTCTTGTTTGGCTTCCCTTTTAATTGCAGATGCGGTTTTTCGCCCGGTCGGGTTTTTGTCCGCATTTAAATTAATTATTTTTATAAAAAATATAAATAAAGTCTCCTAAATAACTTAAAAACCTTGTCTTATTATTTATTAAATAAGTATGTCGAAACTTTAATAATTATTGCAGATTGGACTTAATAGATTATAATCTTTAACTAGTACTATTTATTTTTTAAATAAATGATTAATATTAAGATTTGATATGAAAAACAATATTTAAGAATCTTTTTGATAAACTTAACTAAGAAGAATATATTCTAATAACTAATAGCTATCCTAATAGTTATTAAATTAGGATTAAATCTAAAAGTGTCATAATAAATTAATCACTTTTTACAAAAGACTGGTGAATGTACAAGGATCTAAAGTAATTATCAACCCTATTAGCTGTACCTGAATTACGGTTTGCATAAAATATCACAAAATAAATACATATAAGAATAATTTAAGGTTATTTTACACACTGATCCGTTAACTATATCTCAAGGAAGAGTATAAAAAAAGATATATTATTTTCTATTTAAAAGTATCCTATAAATCTTAATTAAAAATTTTAAAAAATACATGTATTTATTTAGAAAAGCATTATTTCTGCTGTATCGATAATTTTTCAGAGGCATTGTCAGCTCTTTTGAAATAGTTAAAAAATAAGGAAATGATCTATTTAATGAACAGCCAATAACCATTTTTGTACCAGTAATTGAATAGTTATTAACACATAAGATANCTACCAGTAATTGAATAGTTATTAACACTTAAGATAAAGAATGCAAGTAAAGTAATCATTTGTTTATTATTATCTGTAAACATTTCTAAAAATTTTCTTTCATCCAGCAAAAGTGTAAAAATGTTTATAGTTTTTAAAATAATTTTTCAAATTTTATTTTGGACTAATCATTGTTTTAGATAAATCGTTCTCTTATTTTTAAGCCAATTAAACATGTTTGTTCCTGTCTGAAAAACTGAAGCTGAAACAACAATTGTAAGAGAAAAGACAAATGATTAACACTATTTTTTTCCCCCAATTAAAGTGTATAGTGTACTTTTCAATTATAAAAATTATTCTTTTGAAGAAATTACATTAGACGTACGATGTTTTTGCCCTCCTGTATTGAATTGTACAACTAAATTTTAGTTCATTGAGCTCTATGATGTAAAATATTTTAAAATGCATATATTTTTTTATTTTTTAAGTAAAACTTAAGATAATCCAATGCGACTACTACAAATGTTTTTAAGAGTTTTAAAACATGAAGACCGTGTTTTGAAAAGTATTTAAACAGTAATTAATTCCTCTATCTACAGTATAATTAATATTTTTTTTTATCTTATATCGAGCTGAGAAGCTGATAATTTTACTATGATGTTTTTATTTATTTATTGTCTTTAACTACTTTTTCTCAGCTCTCACCGATTTGATGTTTTTAACGTTAGTATTAAAAAAAAAAAATTTCATTAGCATTCATTTATCTTTCAAAAAGTTCATTATTTTATATATTAAAGTTAAAATAAATCGAAATTTACTGATTTATAAAAATCGTAATTTGTTGGGATAATTCTCCCACCCATTTACCAGGTATGAGAGAATTTTTAAGTTTTGACAGTAGTATCTTCAATTAGATATTATTTAAATAATAGATTTATTATATAGTAAAACCAATAGTAATAGAAAAATATAATGAAAACTATTTTCCTTTTATTAAAATTAACAATAGTCAATACATGTTATCTTTCTTTAAGTAAAATTAAAACTATATTAAAAATATTATTAATTTAAAAAACTAAAAAATATTAAAAANTTTCTTTATTTAATATATTATAAATATAATATGTACATAAATGTATTTTGTAGCAAATATAATTTTGAAAATTTACTAGAACTTTTAGTTTTAAATAACATTTTATAAAAATAAAAAAATAAAAACATGAATATAATGTTTTTTTTTTATGCATCAATTGTAACATAATTTACATTACTTAAATTCAATTTTTGTTAAAACAAAATTAAAGTCATAACTTAACTTTTAAGAATATTATACCATATTTAGAATTTATGATTTACCATAAACTACTGTAACCATAATAGTTTAAGTATTTGCGATAAAAAATCTGATAATAGTTATAAAAAAAAATATTTTTTTTTGGTTGATAAGAAAAAGAAGTTTACACATAAATATTTTTATTTATCTCATAGAGTAAAAAATATCCATAAGGTAAAAACTTCTCTCAAAGATGAGGTATTGCCCTACTAACCCACCCTTATGAATACGTAATTGCAGGGGTGCTAAAATTGTGTAAAGCTGGCAGAGCCTTTCCCAGATTACACCTGTGTAATTAATACTGATTAAAATAAGTTCATTTTAAATTTGTGGAATAGTATAAAGTATGTACATTATCGAGTGGTTATTGCTTGCGTTTAACAAATTATATTAAATTTTAAAAAAATATGCAGATTATTAGGGGTAAATATAGTATTTAAAGAATTAGAATATTTAATCAAACTTGAAAATTATTTGTGGTAATAAATATTACCTATAATATAATATAAAAATTTGGATCTTCCTTTTTTTAGTCTAAAATTAGGAAGTTTCCAAAATAACTTTTAGAAAACATCAAAAACCAAAATATAGATCATACCAAATTATTTTACCCAAAATTCTAATACAAATACTTTTTTTTGTTAAGTATAATTCCATTATAAAATTTTCAAAGAAATTTCATGGCATGGTTGATTTTTCATTTAGCTGAAAAATTCAATTGTTTGTCCATCATAATAGCTTAAATATATATTACTATGATTCAACACACAAATTTTACACACTGAAAAAAATTTCCTAAATTTTTAGTAGGATCACCCCCCCAAACTACAACAATGACTATAATTGTTTTTATTTTAACTTAAAATGATTGCAAAACATAGATTTTTTTTTTTCATGGTATATATTAGCTAAATAGTATTATGCTTTTACATAGAAAGAATCAATAAGTTTTTAAATAAATTTATACTTATTGATTATTTAATAATATTTTTCCAAAATAATAGTCTAGGTTATAACCTGTATATATATTCAACTACCACATTTTAACTGATATTGGAATTAGTATTTTATGTTAGTACAAATAATAATAAATCTTTATTTAAATCATGAAATATATGGGATAATTACTTATAATTTAATCAATGGTTGACTGTAAATAAGTAAGAGAACTTGTATTTAAAATAATTAAAATTAAACACAATTAAAAATTTTAAGTGCATACCTGTATGCATGGTTGATAAATTAAACCTACATTTCCTTCTTTTTCTCCTAGATACCAATTTATATTAATTTTCCGTAATAAGGTGACATAATCTCCAACTTATAAATTTAAATGTCTATAAAAAAAAACATCAAATTATTTCATATTAAAATAATTTTCTTGTTTTGAATAATTTGTAGATTTAAGATGAGATATTTATGAAGCTACTTAAAAATGATAAAAGATTATTAATTTATTTTCGAGAGCTGAATAACAGTAAAAAGTAAAATGATAAAAAATAATTACCCAGGTTCTTTAGATACATAATTGTAAATAACTTTTGCACTTGTTTTTAAAAATATGTCATTATTAAAAAAATTTTCCTATCTAAATTACTATATTAATATTAATTTTTTATATTAGTCATCAAAATTACATAGGTATTAAAAATTAATTAGTGTTTTAGATGTATTTTCCAGTTTTTTAGCTTCGATGCGAAGCTGAGAAGGTATTGGTTTTACTAAGATGTGTTTTTTTTTTTTTTGTGCCTGTTACCACTTTTTCTCAGCTCTCACCGAACCGATTGCATNTGTCTGTTACCACTTTTTCTCAGCTCTCACCGAACCGATTTCTTTCAATGATACGTCAAAAGATCACAAATTGTATCTAGTCGAAGACATTACCCTCAAAAATTGAAAAAAATTCCCTCGTTCCCCGTAAATGGAGGAAACCTCCAAAAAAATTACACTTTTAAAAATCGCTAATTTTCGAAATTTTTTCAATTTTTTTTACTTAAAAGTGCTATAACTTTTTCAAAAATGAACATATCAATATAATTCTTTTTTATATAGATGCATAATATCATTACCTTTCATTTGGTATATTTTTTTCATAAATTTAACCCTTAACCTGCCCACAAGGGGGGATTTAAAATGACAACTTTTTCACAAAAAATTAATTTTTTCAACTTGACTTTTGAAAATGTTCCGGAAAGTCTGACATTTTTATATATATCTTAAATTAAAGCTAATATAAAATACTTTATCATGGAAAAAAAAAATTTCGGACTTTATTTTATCTTCACGGTGAAAATGGCTACCAAATGCTATTTTTGTGTGAAAATTTTCGATTTTGTATTTTACATTTTTAACTTTATTATGCTATAACTTTTTGAAAAATGTATGGATCAGTACAATTTTTTTATAAGGAGTAGTATTCATATACATCTTTCATTTCAGTTGCTAATTGTTAATCAAACAATCAGCACGTATGTTTCGGTCTCGCTCTCGTGAAACCTGTGTGTTATTGTTATTAAATTTTATATGTGCGTATAATGCAAACCGCGGACTTAAGGACGTTGGTAAGTGTTTTTAAATAGATNGGACGTTGGTAAGTGTTTTTAATAGATTTTTTTTTAATTAAGTGGGTCACAATAGTGGCATCAAATTACATTGTGTATAATACAACTATATTATACAAATGGATACATACGGAAATGTCTCCACAGCGCAAGAAAAAAATATAACTGTCAGCTATGATA